GGTCCTCCCCCTGTCCGGGGAGAGGGGTCCGAGCTCGGCATTTAGCCTGGACCCAGAGCGCTCCCCCCGATACTGGGGTGAGGAGTCGGGGTGGTGGAGGGATGCTGAAAGACTAGAGATAATGGAGGTAAGGCTGCTTTGATTATTTATAGCGGTTCTCTCTTGTGCTGAATGCTGATTGGATAGATGGTGTAATTACTGATGATGGACTGGCCGTGTTAATTATCTGCGCGTGCTCCTCCCGAAATTTGTTAATAAAACATCACTTCACGAGTTCACACTTACATATAATGAACAGAGTAAAGGTTATGCGTATTTGGCGTTCTGTCCGGGGAGAGGGCTCCAAGCTCGGTAATTACTCTCGAGCCTGGGGTACTCCCCCTGTCCGGGGAGGGGTCCGAGCACGGGTCTAAGCCCGGGCCCAGAGCGCTCCCCCAAAGATCCAAAGATGCAATTAGTACGGGACAGCAGCCAGAGAGGAGCGTTGACAACCCCCCAAAATTAGCAAAGCTTAAAATTGGTGGGGTGCTGGACATCGTTTGTAGTAGCAGCACTGCTGAGGCTTTAGAAGACAGAACTAGAGGCTTCTGCTGAAGTGGGCGATGCTACGGCATCTGAAAAGAAAACTCTTGTGGGAGTGGGAACTGCTACGGCGTCTGAAAAGAGAAATTGGCTTCTGTGGAAGCAAGCACTGCTGCGGCAGAGTAAAATACAGACAAAGTCTCCTGCGGTGGGGAAATATGGAAAAGCTCCTGCGGGAGCGAGCACTGCTGCGGCAGTATGGGAATTTAGGTAAGGCTCCTGCGGGAGCGGGAACTGCTGCGGCAGTGGGGAAATATGGAAAGAGGCTCCTGCGGGAGCGGGGACTGCTGCGGCAGTGGGGAAATATGGAAAGAGGCTCCTGCGGGAGCGGGGACTGCTGCGGCAGTGGGGAAATATGGAAAAGTTCCTGCGGGAGCGGGGACTGTTGCGGCAGTGGGGAAATATGGAAGAGCTCTTGCGGGAGCAGGGACTGCTGCGGCAGTGGGGAAATACGGAAAGAGGCTCCTGCGGGAGTGGGAACTGCTGCGGCAGTGGGGAAATATGGAAAAGTTCCTGCGGGAGCGGGGACTGTTGCGGCAGTGGGGAAATATGGAAGAGCTCCTGCGGGAGCGGGCACTGCTGCGGCAGTGGGGAAATATGGAAAAGCTCCTGCGGGAGTGGGGAATGTAGCGGCAGTGGGGATATACGGAAGAGCTCCTGCGGGAGCGGGCACTGCTGCGGCAGTGTGGGAATTTAGGTAAGGCTCCTGTGGGAGCGGGCACTGCTGCGGCAGTGTGGCAATTTAGGTAAGGCTCCTGTGGGAGCGGGAACTGCTGCGGCAGTGGGGAAATACAGAAAAGGCTCCTGCGGGAGCGGGCACTTGCTGCGGCAGTGGGGAAATACAGGCGAGACTCCTGCGGGAGCGGGAACTGCTGTGGCAGTGTGGCAATTAGGTAAGGCTTCTGCGGGAGCGGGGTGCTGCTGGGATGGCTGGAGTGAGGATGGGTCGTTGGGCAGTTATAGGTGGATTAGGTGGTGTTAAAAAGAGTTTAGCTATGGTGGGTCTTTTGAGTGAACAGGGCTGTGCTGACGTTAAAGGGGTTGGCAGATGAGGGTTCGGTGGGCTTCCTTGATGTGGGAGTGGTCTGATCGAATGTAGCTCTTGAAAGCTTCTGACGACCAGCGACCAAGTGCTTGTATCTGATGGGAGAGGCCTTTTTGGGCTGCTGTGGTTGCCGCGCCAATTCGGAATGAATGGCTGGAAAAATTATCGGCTGGGGTACCGGATAGGAGCAGAACGGACTTAAGGTGCTTTTGAAACCAGAAACGAGTGACGGGGCGTTTGAAGTCGTCTGTAAAAAGGGGGTCAGATGGGAGTTTGGACTGTGATTTCCTGAGCTGGATGAAGGCTAGGAGGGCTTGGTATGGTAGTATGGGTGATTGTAGGTTGAAAATGAAAATGAAATGGCCTTTCTTGGTCTGGTCTGTTTTACTTTGCTTAATGAAGTAAGAGATGGTTTCGTCATCCAGCACTGCTAGATCGGAGATAGTGGGGTGGATGTTTGGATTGAAGCTAGATGTGATAGCGAGCTCTGAGCATCTGAGAAAACCAAAAGGGGGTCGGATGGGAGTTTGGACTGTGATTTCCTGAGCTGGATGAAGGCTAGGAGGGCCTGGTATGGTAGTATGGGTGATTGGAGGTTGAAAATGAAAATGAAATGGCCTTTCCTGGTCTGGTCTGTTTTACTTTGCTTAATGAAGTAAGAGATGGTTTCGTCATCCAGCACTGCTAGATCGGAGATAGTGGGGTGGATGTTTGGATTGAAGCTAGATGTGATAGCGAGCTCTGAGCATCTGAGAAAACCAAAGAAAGCCATGATGGGCATGGCGTCAAGCGTGCGGGCGGTGTGAATGGAATGATAACATCTGACTGCTAGATCGGAGATAGTGGGGTGGATGTTTGGATTGAAGCTAGATGTGATAGCGAGCTCTGAGCATCTGAGAAAACCAAAGAAAGCCATGATGGGCATGGCGTCAAGCGTGCGGGCGGTGTGAATGGAATGATAACCTCTGCGGAGGGTAGAAATACATTTGGTCAATATTTGTAAGGTTATGGGTTGCCTGGTGTCTGGGCGGGTGGGATGCGCGCTTTGGATACCTTTGATGAGTAGGGAGGTCTGAGAATTGGCTATCTGGGGTGAGGGTGAACCATATAAGAGTTTGTGGAAAAATTGTATTCCACTTAGATAACCCTTAATGGAGCTGATTTGAAGGTTTTTGTTGATGTTAAGGTGAGAGATGAATGAGGTGATAGTGAGCAAGGAAAAGTCGGGAAATGGCAGGTTGTAAGTAGAGTGAAATGCTTTAAAGCACTTCCAAGCTGTTAGGTAAGATTGGAGGGTCCTGGGGCAGACGGCTTGAAAAATAGAGTTGAGGGAAGCTTCGAGGAGAGGTCTCAGTGGATGATTTACGGGAATATCAGTTCTGAATAGGGAGGTACTGGGGTTGGGACTGGATCCGCCTCTGGTGCCAACGTTCTGAATTTCTGGAAGGCAAAGCGAGAGAGAGAGTCAGCTATTTGGTTTTTTGAACCAGGAATATGTTTTGCAGTTACAATGAATTGGTCGCAAGCCGAGATCCAAATCAGGCGTCTTAACAAAGGCATTAGGTCGGGTGAATGGGAACGGCCTTTATTGATGCAGTGCACGGTAACCTTGTTGTCACAGTGGGTAATGATGCTGGTGGCGGACCACTCCTTACGCCACAGAAGGGCTGCGATGACTAAGGGATATAGCTTGAATAGAGCTGAGGATTTTAGCTGCTGTGGTAAGTCTAACAGCTGGGGGGGCCAAGTAGATGCGAACCAGCGGCCTTGGTAAAATCCTCCGAAACCGACGGAGGAGGCGGTGAAATTAAGTTATTATAAAAGAAAGATAGGCCGTTCCATTGTTTAAGAAAGGATATCCATAAGCTGAGCTCGTTGCAGCATGAGTCAGTTAGTGATATTTGATCCTCTAGTGAGTGGGCAGAAGACGTGAGAGAGAGGAGGTGTGAGATAAAAGGACGACCCTGTGGGATGATGCGCATTGCGAAATTTAGATCACCGAGAATGGCTAGCAGCTCGCGTTTGGAGCAGCTTGGGTTGTCTAATAGGGCGGAAGCAACCAAAATCGTCCTATCAATTTTTTCCTTCGGCAGGGAAGCCTGGAATTTTTGTGAATCTAAGTTGATACCCAAAAATTCGATGGAGGTGCTCGGGCCCGCGGTTTTGTCTTGGGCGAGAGGAATCCCGAGCTCAGCAAAAACCTTTTGGGTTGTCAAAAGATGCGTGGCTGGGATGGAGTCGGGAGGCGAGATGATTAAGAAATCGTCTAAAAGATGGATCAGGTAAGGTATTGCGTAATTGTTGGAGAGTATCCAGCATATTGCCTCTGACAACATGTCGAAAATTTTAGGGCTGCTTCTGCAGCCGAAAAAGTGAGGCGGACAGAAAAGTAAAATTTATTATGCCAGCGGATGCCAAATAAATGCCAAAAATCCGGGTGAATGGGCATCACTTTGAAGGCGGAGGGGACGTCGACTTTGGCCAGCCAAGCGCTGCGATCCGCGTCTTTGATCAGGGAAATGGCTTGGTCAACGTCATAGTAGTGGAGAGAAAATTCTTCGAGCGGAATGAGGCTGTTAATACTTGGGAACGGGGAATTATGCGGGGATGAGAGATCGATTATGAGGCATTTTTTACCTGAGAATTTCCTGGTAGCTACACCGATGGGGCTAAAACGGAAAACATTAAAGGGAGGGACGGAAAAGGGGCCGATCATGAAGTTTGCGTGGTGAAAGCCGTGTGAGAGATCCGATAGTATATACTCCGTGAAAAGGGAGTCAGGGTGATGAAGCAATTCTGAAGACAAACGAGAAACATTTACAGGAGTCGATAAGTATTGTTTAGCATTTTTATTTGCAGCTTTTTGCACTGGACATATGAAGCGGGCATGAGCACCGCCACAAAAATTGCAAACATGCATGAAACAGCAGTGCTGCCTTGAGCATCTGCCAGTGTTGAAACTGGTGCAGACCTGGCTCTCAGAGGGAGCTGAGCGGCGGCGGTAGTTGGAAGTGGGTGGGAAAGGGGTGGTTGGAATGTCTAGGAGACGCGGGACATAGCTGATGGATTTGGGCTGGGATGGCTCGGGGCAGGGGGGAATAGATGGGTTGATTAGAGGGCATGTAATGGTGGAGTGGGCAATGGATCAGCAGAGCACGCAAGATATGTTGCGGCAGCCTAAAAATACTCTGTTATGGAGTTCGGTGTCCAAAGCCCCCCAGTAAGGACATTGGTTCCACTGGGCCACTCGGATGGTGCATTTAGCTGCAAATAATTTGTGGTAGGTGTAAAAGTGAGAGCCGCCGTATGATAACGCGAGTTCGGCGACTATCGCAAGATAATCGACGAGCTCGCGTCTCCTGTTAGGAAAAACAGGGCAGATGAATTCTATGTAACGGGTGAAAGCAATCGTGAATTCGGCAAATGATAAAATACGTGATGGGTTGTGAGCTGTGTTTTTTACAGTGACAGAAAATCCGCCGCAGTCGATTTGGCGATCTGCAGATGAAGGTGAAATTGGTGACAAAAGGGAAAAAAGATCTACGTCCGCACCTGCCAAGATCTGTGTCCTGATGTTGCTGGCCACGGGGGGTGGTTCCAAGGCGAGGGCGTTCGGAGGGGTGGGTAGAGGCGTGGTGGAAAAAAGAGAGAAGGAAGAGCGAGCGAGGGGAAGTGGAAAGGTAGTCGCCGGAACCGCTTGCGGAGACACGCTCACGCTTGGGGCAGTTCCAGGGACGGAATAGGAAGGGGGAAAGAGAAGGGGAATGACGGGCATCGGGGCCTGCGTCATTAGCGGAGGCATGTTCGCGCTTGGTACAGCTCCGGGAGCGGAAGAAAAAGGAGGAAAAAAGAGAGGGGGAATGGCGGGTGTCGGGGCCTGCGCCATTAGCGGAGGCATGCTTGCGCTTGGGACAGCTCCGGGAGCACAAGAAAAATGAAGAAAAAGAGGGGGAAAGGCGGGCGTCGGGGCCTGCGCCATTAGTGGAGGCACGCTCGCGCTAGAGATAGACGGTGGGGCTGCGGGCCATGGGTAGGGAAGGGGGTACGGAGAGGTGTGAGGCAAAGGTTGCGGGGCAGGTCTGCGCCGCTAGCGGAGGCGTGCTCACGCTGATGTGACGGCTTGTGGAGACTGGAGCCGGCACTTCGCCAAGATGAGATGCGAGCTGACGCTCGGTGGATGGAGGAGGGGTTCTGGGGCTGGCAGCATCCGGGGCACGGCCCAGGCTTGCTGAAGGCTTTTTCCTGCGGCCTAACGGCCGGAAGCCCGTCTTCGAAGGAGTGGTGGTTAGCTCGGACCGTGAGTACGGAACGCTGCGGCCATGGCTCGCTTTATCCGCGGCCTTGGATGGAGGAGTAGAGCTTGGAGGCGCCCCTGTTTGGAGGGAAGTATAGAGGGCGAGGAGATCCGCCTTGACCGACCGTCGTGGGACGTTGACGCCGGAGCTAATGAGCGCCTGGCGTAGTCCTGTCACGGTCCATTTCTCCGCAGCTCGGGCGGAGGAGAGGGCTGAAGCGTAGGAGGACGCTGGAGAAGGTGGCTGATGCCTGGAAGGCGAAGGTGATGGTGCCTGGAGGTATGAGCGACGGCAACGCGGGAAGGCCGGCGGCCCCGTGTTGCAGCTGCGGGCTCGATTATGGTGTCCTGTGGAGCGCTGGTGCGCTGATCGGCGACTGGAGACGTGGTGTCAAACGCGGAGTACCTGTGGTGTCAAACGCGGAGTACCTGTGGTGTCAAACGCGTTGTCGTCCGGGAAAAGTTAAATCTCTGACATGTTTGCGGCGATTGGATGTGCCAATGCTGAAAGACTAGAGATAATGGAGGTAAGGCTGCTTTGATTATTTATAGAGGTTCTCTCTTGTGCTGATTGGATAGATGGTGTAATTACTGATGATGAACTGGCCGTGTTAATTATCTGCGCGTGCTCCTCCCGAAATTTGTTAATAAAACATCACTTAGTTTGATTATTAACTTGATAGATGTTGCTTTTTGTGTTTGAACAAACTCTATAGGCCTAGTATATTCGCTTATGGGTTGAGAAATTCATTTTGTGTGTCACGATGTAAGCTTTTCATTTAAACACATTTTAAGCATTTTGGTTTAAAAACTAATTTAACTGTTCAGGGACATTAAGCAGTGGGGCAGAATCAATTTTGGCAAATGCGTGCGTTAAGGCGGTTTCTGATACGCGCGGAGCGCACTTGCTCGTACAGCGTCTGACTAAACTAAGAGTTCTTTTTCGCGCCTTGTGTTTAAACTTTCTAATACACATTATGTGTCAAAATGCCTGTCTCCTCGTCAACACAGTCATTTGTGTCTTAAATGAACATTAATAGATAAAGATAAAGCATGTGCACTAGTTGGCTATTATGAGATCCTGGCATTATATGATGAGATTTTAAAGGGATATAGTTTACCCAAAAATTTAAATACTGTCATCGTTTACTCAGTTAAGTTGTTCTGAACCTGTATGTTTCTTTGTTTTCCTCAACATAAAAGAAGATATTTTGAAGAATATTCGTAACAACCAAAAAGTTTCTGGTCCCTGTTGATTCCAATAGTGTTTTGTTTTTTGTTTTTTTTCATACTATGGAAGTCATGGGGGCACAGAAACTGTTTGGTTACCAGTAGGCTATTGTTCCAATATATACTGTATACGTTTGCATTCAACAGCAGAAGGAAACTCATTCGGGTTTAGAACAACAACAACATAACTTTAATTTTTGGGTGAACTATTCCTCCAAAGCAGCCTAATATAGCTGCTGTTGCTATTTGTGTCAATAATGTAAATTAAACATTAGAAAGAAAATCACTCACTGCCCTTGACCGATTCGCTTTTGTAAAATAATGTATATTGAATTTATATGCAGTGAAGACTATTCATTCTATTTGTAGTCTATTTATTTTATACAATATAATATTTCTTATTCAGTGCTTTAAGTGTTTGTATAGGTCAATTTCTTTGTTCTATTGTAATTCATGACTGTTTACTAGTCTTCAGTAAGTTTGTTTTTACTTAGGCTAGTATTTTTTTTTAATTATTTTGTGATATTGGAATTGGTAACAAGAATTGTGAAATTGCAATGCCTCAAAAATTTTGATTTAAAGTCATTATTGTGATGGGGGCCCTGCAGTAAGTCATAGCCCCGGGGCCCAGTGAGGTCTTAATGCGGCCCTGGTAACAGGTCCGCAGAGGGGGCTTGTCTGTAATGGTCTGTATCCCCCGCCACATAAGTACATATTACTTATTAATCTACTAATCATAAAATCTGACTAGAACAAACTCTTTGACATGTATATATGATACTGGATATTAAACAATTAATAATGTATCTCATCCAGTCACGTGTGGGGTGAAATATAATTTATAAGGCATTTAAAAGCTCTATTGAGAAAATTAAAACATGCAAAGCCCTAAAAGCAAATGTTATCAGAACTAAAATTATGAAATTATTCCTGATGCAAGCAGAATAAAAATGGACAAAAACCATAAGCTGTCGATAAACTGTTTAAAGTGTCATGAAACTACTTTTTCTGAGATTTTATCAGAGGTGTTTGTGTTGCACATCATAGAAGACAATGTTAGCATCCGATAATTTTAACTGTTGGAGAAAACAGGTTAATTTTAAGCTAATTTTAAGCTAAGGGTTTAAAATCTACATTGTGTTGACGTCACAATTTGTGACGTGGCAATGGACTAAAGGCTGATTTATACTTCTGCGTCGGACCTACGCCGTAGGCTATGCGTCAGTTTTCATTTATACTTCTGCGTCGTTGTCCGCGTCGACGTGCAGTACACATGCAATCCGCTAGTCTGCAGTGGCCACGGGCATGTTGCTGGTGTAACCCGCAGTACCACGGCAAAAGCCGAAGAAGAAGCGGCTCATCGGAGAAGCATTATAGCCGTGATGGCTGCAAATAAATATCAAATCATTAAATCATTATTGAAAACTACAAAAAGGAGACAACAACGGAACAGGAGAAGATGGCATACTTTCAATCTCTACAAGGACTTGTACCACGGCAGATCAACATTGTTTGTCGCGGACAACTACTGATGTATAATGCTATGTAGTATAATAAATGATAAGACACTTGTTCTTTGCTTTGTTTTATTTTATATAAGAAGGTGTAACATTAAAATATATTATAGTAAACACACAAAAAACTCAAGTACATACGGAGGGAGGGGTTCTAGCAGACCAATCACAGCGCTTGCGGTCCGCACAGAATTGACGCGCTGTTAGATTTTTGGAGAGGTGCACGTCAGGCTACGGCGTAGGGTGTACGTCTATGCGTAGGCTATGGCGTAGGTTCGATGCAGAAGTATAAATTGGGCTTAATAGTACATCGATGACGCGTCGGTGTCTATTAAATTATTCATGAGACTGCGTGTTCTTATCCTATGAGAAGACGCTTCGCTTAATTATTCACAACAGCATGTGTTGATTTGCTATGACAGACGTTTCAGACTGTGAGATGACATCGCGCACAATAACTGAGAGAAACGTTCATGGATGGAAGAAGAGTGTTTGTTTTTGCTTTGTAATAAGAGTTCGGCACAAACGCGATTCATTCACTTGGTCAGCATAACCGTTTTTACAGCTCTGTGACACAACCCGTCAAAAGGCTTATATAAACGCCACAGAATAAGCCTTAAAAGTTCTCAGAGGTGCAACAGCGCGTTCATATATATGTTTTCAATGCAGAGTGCAAATGGCTGTGCATTTATTTGTGTTTTTAACTTTTTTTGAAACTGTCAGACCGCTAAACTGTGTGTGTGTTGTCTGTCTCCCCTCTTCCCCCTCCGCTCCGCACCACGCCCACTTTTTAAACATCTTTTTAAACTGTGGTGAGAACTAACCAGTGCTGAAATGGGGGGTTTCATGACCCTTTAAAATAAGTAAGGATAATCCAACTTTACTTGAAGCAAATACAAAAGTTAAGCAGAAGAGAAAATGAATGAGGCAGATTTGTGTATTTTTACTGACGTATAAGACAGCCGAAGCATCTCAAGAGAAGAGAAGCAAAGTGAGTAGTTGCAAGGCTACATGAAAGTATATCCTGGAAGAGTAGAAGTGGAAGCGGAACAAGATATTCTAATGAAGAACAAGTTACAAATGTCCAGATGCGACCTTTGAGCTCCGTGGGATAAAAAATTGTGTTTTTTTTAAGTGTCCAGCGGATGACAGGAGATAAATGAAGTCCTGAGCAATGTTTTTGTAGATTTTAATTGTCCGTTCCCACATCCGGATGCTCAGGTGTCCGGTTGCATTCCAAGGCACACTTCAATAAATAGACCCTGTGCACTTCTGTGGAAAATCAGAAAAGAGCTGTGAAATACATAGACATGGACGGTTTATACTCACCTAAAACTCCTGAGAAGGAATGGGATGAAGAGATGATGGAAAATCTGACTTTGGCTCCGAGAAAGCCGTACAACGCAAACTTGTATTTGACAAAGTTTCTCCACGAAAATACGGATTGTGTGAGAGACAAATTTTTTCAGATCAGCGGACGCATATTTGGCTACATATTTCACAAATCGTCTCGAACGGTTACGCTCTACACATCTGACGAGACCGACGAATTTGTACATGGTCAAGACCCCTGCCTGGTATTTCCTGATAAAGACTGGCAATTATTTATCAATCGTATCTGGAAAGATCTGAAAGATTGTGGAGAAGAACCTTTGTACGCTGCGGAGTGGGACGGGGTGGCCCCGAATATCCGTTACCGAGTGGTCAGTGATCACGCCCAAAAGAGCCCGGACGTCTGCGAAGACAAGACAAAGCTTAGTGGTC